AATTCGTATAATATGGAACGTTTGCGCGCGAAATTTAAAATGAGTTTCACTGTATTTATAATTTTGCCATTTTTTATTCAGGTTTTACAGCAATATTAAACTAGTTTATACAATTTTTATACTTTACTGTACCTCTTTAATAAATCGAGCATTGAGTTTCTTGAAACGTTTTGAATCGCTATTTACAGCAACAGGTGTAGTAATGGCGTCCGTAGAGTCCGATAGTCTGAACGTAATAATTAGTGATTTGAATGCTTGAAAGAGGGTATCGAACACAATCTATAATTCCAAAGTATAATACCAATCACTAAAACGATTGTATCTGCATTTGATTATGACATAAACCAAGAATAACAATTATTTGAATGCACTCCAAAAATCGGCAACGTCAGGTGAAAGGTTATGTACAAATATTTCAAAAAAAATTCAAGGTTTCTAATATTACTAATATTACCCTAATATTATCCTAAAGAAGCGCATGGAATCACGGCGTGCGAGATATTCCATGCCTCGAATTACAGTCCATGAGATATTCGACGCGTGGAATTATGGCGCATGAGATATTCGACGCATGGAATTGTAACGCGTGGAATTATGGAGCATGAGATATTCGACGCGTGGAATTATAACGCGTGAGATATTTGACGCGTTGAAATACTGTACGTGGAATTACGGAACATGAGATATTCGGTGCGTGGAATTACAGCGCATGAGATATCCAACGCGTGGAATTGTAATGCATGGAATTACGACGCGTAAGATATTCAACGCGTGGAATTACAGCGCGTGAGATATTCAACGTGTAGAATTACCATGAGTGGAACTGCAACGGGTGGAATTACAGCGCATAAGATATTCTACGCGTAGAAATTACGACGCGTGAAATTACGATGCATGGAAATATGGCGCGTGGGACTATAACGCGTGGAATTACGGCGCGTGGGACTATAACACGTGGAATTACGGCGCGTGGGACTATAACGCGTGGAATTACGGCGCATGGGACTATAACGCGTGGAATTACGGCGCGTGGAACTATAACGCGTGGAATTACAACGCGTGGAATGACAGTACGTGAAAGTAAAACGCGTGGAATTACAACGCGTGGAATTACAACGCGTGGAATGACAGTACGTGAAAGTAAAACGCTTGAAATAACAATGCCCGGAATTTCTAACACTACTAATATTATCTAATATTTCCCTAAACAATCACGTCCTAAGAAGTCCCTAACATCACCCTAAATCTCGTAAATATTTTAAAAGCGACTTCAATCGAGAAAGAAGGTAAATTCCAGCAGAAAAACGTTGAGAAAGACAGCAGAATTCCGACGAATGTCGTTTCAAAAACACCAGCCACCCGTGGTCAATATTCAAACGACCCGGTACAGCATCGTGCTTACATTTATTTAATGTCGCGAATGCATAATTTTGATGCAGGCATCCGATGACGAATCTCCGCAACGCGACACAGCGCACCTCCGTAATATGTATACAGTATTTATCGTGTCCCGCGTCGCACTCTTTTTTTTCCACCCGACCCGTATCGTTGTTTTTACGTTTGTTCTAGTTGTTGCTGTTCCGTTTCGTTTTTTCGTCTGTTTCAGCAGATCGACAGAGGCCGACCGACAGTTGTGACAACAACGTGCACGAGATGCGAGCACGGTACACCTTGCGTACAACGCGAATGTTTGCCGCGCGGACCGATGCCGTCCTGACAGCTCAGATAACGGGCGTGACATTTTGAAAAATTGAGGCCAACGATGCGAACAACGTCAACGAAATGCATCCCCGTCGTCCGTTTTTTCCTTCTCTCCCTTTTTCAGCCGCTGTTACGGGGAGCGCGTAAAAAAACAGCCGAACAACGTACACCGGTTCACCATTAACACGCTCGATATATCCGATTTTGAGTTACGAGCCGAATACCGCCGGAATTTGTGACTACATAATGTCCGAAAAATCGGGACAAGTTTTGCATTTTAGGAGTCTCATCAAAACGGTTAGGTTAGATTAGGAACAAAATGAAATTTTTTAACGTGGACTCATAATTCAGAATATAGTAGACTTATTAAAATTTGAATAAAATTATATACAAGAAAAATGAAGGTTTAAAATTTTAGATGTGACTTTCATTTTCTGACGAGACTATTTTCTTGATGAATCGTGGTTGCATATTATTAAAATATTACATTGCTATAATAAACAGTAAATTGCAGCAGTGAAATTCTCAATTTACTAACAAAAGTATACTCAGTACAAATTAATAGAAATTGTAGATGAATTTTATGTTACATACGAAATATGTTACATAACCTCAAATTTTTGTGAAATCCCATTTTTTTCGACAGGTGGAATTATGGCGCGTGGAATTACTGCGCGTAAGATATTCGACGCATGGAATTACGGCGCAATAGATATTCAACGCGTGGAATTGTAATGCATGGAATTATGGTTCGTAAGATATTCGACGTGTGGAATTATGGCGCGTGGAATTGTAATGCGTGGAATTACGGAACGTAAGATATTCGACGCGTGGAATTACAATGCATAAGATATTCGATGCGTAGAAATACAATGCGTGCAATTACGATGCCTGGAAATACGACGCGTGGAATTGCAACGCATGGAATTACGGGGCATGTGATATTCGACGCATGGAATTACCATGAGTGGAATTGCAACGCGTGGAATTACGGCGCATGAGATATTCTACGCGTAGAAATACGGTGCGTGGAATTACGATGCGTGGAAATACGACGGAATGGAATTACAATGCGTGGAAATACGACGGAATGGAATTGCGATGCGTGGAAATACGACGCGTGAAATTACCGTGAGTGGAATTGCAACGCGTGGAATTACGGCGCATGAGATATTCTATACATAGAAATACGGTGCGTGGAATTACGATGCGTGGAAATACGACGGAATGGAATTACGATGCGTGGAAATACGACACGTGGAATTACCGTGAGTGGAATTGTAACGCGTGGAATTACGGCGCATGAGATATTCTATACATAGAAATACGGTGCGTGGAATTACGATGCGTGGAAATACGACGGAATGGAATTACATGCGTGGAAATACGACGCGTGGAATTACCGTGAGTGGAATTGCAACGCGTGGAATTACGGCGCATGAGATATTCTACGCGTAAAAATACGGTGCGTGGAATTACGATGCGTGGAAATACGACGGAATGGAATTACATGCGTGGAAATACGACGCGTGGAATTACCGTGAGTGGAATTGCAACGCGTGGAATTACGGCACATAAGATATTCTACGCGTAGAAATACGGCGCGTAGAATTATGATGCGTGGAAATACCACGCGTGGAATTACGGCGCGTTTTCGGCCATTTTGAAAATAAACTTCGTACGAGACACGTTGCTCTAATTGTCAGAGTACATGCAAAACGTGGGCAAACAAGTCAAAATCAATGGGCAGAGCAAGGACAACGGTCTCGCAGAAGGAATCCATAATGGCAGGTCGACGTTGAGTCGAGCATCGGATCGGCCGGGCCGCGTGCACGTCCTCGTCCGGCAACGAATACACCCGAGTTATTTAAAAAGCCCACTATCCGTTATCTCGATCGGAGAACGCGAAGGGTCGTTTGAAATATTTCTTCCTCCGGTGTTTCGAAGGTCTGCCATTCGACTGGCTGGCCTGCTCTGACCACGAAGAAACAAAGGCTGGAGTCCTCGTGTCTCTTACCTATCTTTTTCTTTTAATTATCACTTTACTATCTTTGCATACCGTTCATACGATTTATCCGTGAAAGTTCTTTCGTTTAATTCGGAATTAAGAATATAGTTCAATGAACTCAACCTTTAAATAATGTAGCATTAAACTCTTTCAAAATATACCATGTAGTGACACATGCATGAAGTGTAACATAATTGCAATATTTTTTTAATGTGAAATATTTACACATTTATAAAAATATACACTTTTCTGAATTGTACCATCCAACTCTATTCTTATATAATAAAATATGTATTGAAATCAGGTACCTTATTTTCAAAAGATGTTGAGGGTTCGAGTATGATTCAATAGAAGCTATTCATCGAAATGAAGTAACAAGCAATCCGTACAATGTACGGTTATATAAATAGTCCATTATAAGGGTGAAGCCTTCAATTCTTGGGTTAACGAACTGTGAAAAGTCTCGTGTACGCGCGGGAAATTACCGAGATCGGAATTAGATGTATAATTTGATAGGGATTGGTATGTTGTTTGGTCAGATTGTTAGGAATGAGGAGGGTTGAAATCGTTGTTTCGCGGAATAGTGTTTCAACGCTTCGTTCGGTCTGATTTTCTAACTAGTACCCGTAATTTCCATCGACAATTAAACGCTTCCCGTCACTCTCGGATTCACTTTTCCATCGTCATTCCTCGAAACGAACATGCCGGGTGGGCAGTACGTGATCTCGCCAGATAAAATTGAACGATTAGGCGCAAACGAGGCGAGCGTACAACGAGGAAAAACGCGGAATAATGATCGTTAAGGAAACGAGAGAACGACGAAAGAGTTCGTCGTCAAACACCATATACACGGTGGCCCGTTATTATTGCTCTTCCTCTTTACATCTATAAACTTCCTATTTATCACAATATTTCAAGTTTCACATTTAGACAGTCTTGTGTTGAGAAATCTTTGAATTTAAGTATTTAAAGATATTCACATGATGAACTCTTTGAATTCAGAAATTTAATACAATGTTAATTTTATGAACTTTATAAATGTTCATGCTATAAGTCTTCAAATTTAGAAACTTACAAATTTTCATATTATTAAATCTTCATACTCAAAGATCAAGGGATAAGTTTACAGATATCCAAATCAGTAAATCCTAGTCAATCAGACTTGCTGATTTCACAGATTCATTCAAAATAAAAGGTAAATGAAAAAAGACAGCTTCTATGCGAAGAAATGAGATTCTGATAAATGTGTAAGTATGGTTATCGTAGAAGTAGGAAATAAAAAAGTACTCACCAGCGAGTCCACCTCCGGGTCCGCGATGTAGTAAGGTTTCTCTTGTCTGATCTGTAACACACGAGCACACACATTAGAGGTTTAATAATTAAACTCGCGTGGTAATTGCGGTATTAAAACTACAAGAACGATGGTATCGTGCACGCCTGCATACGTGTACATCTATCTCGATCTATTCCTGTTCCTCTCTATTGTTCAATCACTATCTGTACCTTTATTTCTCGCTGAAAATCTCTGGAGAGGCACGCTGTTCCAGTCCAGTCTTTCTCTAAGCGATTTCCTTCGCGTGCTTCCTCTTAATTGGACCCCCACTGTTCAATTCGTACGTATAGAAACGGAAACGCGTCGGTGAACGGCGATGGAATTCTATCCACGGCCGCAGGATTGAAGTCACCGGGAGAGAAAGAGAGAGAGAGGCGAAAACCGAAGAGATTCTCAAGCATTTTCATGGCGCCGCGTAGTGGCGATCAGAATGGAAACAAAACGCAGGAGAACTCGATGCCTCGCTCTTAATTGGACCCACGAGTTCTTACTGAAAGGATGCGGACCGAAAGGAGGGGAAAAAACGAGACGGACGACAAATCTCGATGGAAGTACTGGTTAATCTCGTGGAATCCAACGGAGGACCCACGGTTGATTATGCTCTCTTCCTCGCTCTGCTTTAACCGAGAAGCTATCTGATTAGGACTCGTCCCGGACAACGAATATCGTTAAAATTCTTCCCTCTAGGTCTTCGATATTGCTCAGATCGAATCGATAGCGATTAGCCCTTTGCGATCGATGATTACGTTCAACGCCGCCATTTTCCTACTCTTTCATTTCTAGCTTCGTTCACTATTTTTCTTAATATTCAGTTCATCACACGTTCTCTGTTTCAGAAGCAAGTGTTATATTATTTCAATGTAGGTACTTCATAAGTTAACTCCAATATTGTGAAATATCAGGGTCCTTATAAGGTCACTGCCTCTTGCGTCTTCAGAGCGTTTTGGCGGGAAACCAGAACTGGCTACCAAACTGTGACATCATCAACTTTGATGATACAATTACCAAGTATAGTTTTAATGTACATTCTCTAGTAATTTTCTACTCAGAATTAGCTACAAATTCCACCAGATACTCCTGCTATTTCACCTCTGATCAGTACACATCAGAAGTCTCCTTCAGAATGAAAATTCTACAAATATGAAATCTTGAAACTCACAACCATATCAATGTCTATTAATTCCAGTATCGCAAATACAGCGCGTGGAATTACGGCACGTAAGATATTCGATGCGTGGAATTACAGCGCGTGGAGTTGCGACGCGTGGAATTACGACGCGTGGGATATTCAACATGTGGCGTTGCGACGCGTGGAATTATGGCGCATTAAATATTCGATGCGTGGAATTACAGCGCGTGGAATTACGGCACGTAAGATATTCGGTGCGTGGAATTACAGCGCGTAGAGTTACGACGCGTCTGATATTCAGCGCATGGCGTTGCGACGCGTGGAATCACGGGGCATTAAATATTCGATGCGTGGAATTACAGCGCGTGGAATTACGGCACGTAAGATATTCGGTGCGTGGAATTACAACGCGTGGAATTACAGTGCGTGGAGTTACGACGCGTAGGATATTCAGCGCGTGGCGTTGCGACGCGTGGAATTATGGCGCATTAAATATTCGATGCGTGAAATTACGGCACATAAGATATTCGATGCGTGGAATTACAACGCGTGGAATTACAGCGCATGGAATTACGGTACGTAAGATATTCTACGCGTGGAATTACAACACGTGAAATTACGCCGCGTGGAGTTGCGACGCGTGCTATTACGGCGCATGACGTCGCAACGCGGTGAATTATGACGCGTGGAGTTACGTCGCGAGAAATTACAATGAAACTATACATCATATCACCACATATTAGAATACATACCCTACTATACTACCATGAAAACTTGAAAATCTCAACCATATCAACATCTACTAATTCCCGTATCGCAAATAGATGTTTCCCGATAGAAGCCCACGTACCGCGAATACAATCGGTAAGAATCGAGTTACGAAAGCCAAAGGACCGCGAGAATTCTGAGAACGGGACCAAGGCGCGTATTCATGAGGCTGAATTCTGAATGGGCGCTCCTCTTTCGCATCGGGTGTATAGGTAATGAAGGCGTCTCGTACACCGCACAAAAATACTGTCAACTCTTGGTAGGGGGGGAGCTAGTTCTTGCAGGGTCCTGTCACCATGCTTTTTCGACGATCCCCGAGCGACCTAGCGCCGTTCAGGTAGCAACGTCGATTACAAATTGTAAGCAGCCCCGAAAGGCCTCGTTTTGCCTCTTTCGGCTTCTCGTTGTTCCCTTACGGAGATACTTCTTATCGTTCAACATCGGTCCTGCCATCTTTACCGCGACAATTTTCCACGCTCATAACTGGCATACTCGACAAGAAACGAGGCAAGAGATGAGAGACTTGTACAAGAAGATTCACTTCTGGGACATGAGATACAGATTTACTTTTATGAGAAATGCAATTATTATTTTGGGGATGATTTACAAATTTCTTTAAATTGTAAACATATTATTCTGTGACAACATATGGAACAATTATAGTCGAGTTAATGTGCTCTTCAATCGTTTTTTTGTAGAGCTAGATGAGTATTAAAATTTAACTAGTATTTAAAAAAATTGGTACGAACTCCCTCCATGTTTTTTCTGGATGAATATGTTGCAAGTATTCTTTTTGTTTTAGTTTAATTTTGTCGATGAATATGTTACAAGTATTCTCTTTGTTTTAGTTTAATTTTGTTGATGAATACATTGCAAGTATTCTTTTTTAGTTTAATTTTAAGTGGTTGATTTGAAGTCCGAAAGTACGATGTTCGTCAATGAAACAAGCATCAGAACGGACGTGTTTTCGTTTCATTCAAGCCACGGAGCACGATAAATATAAATGGTCACGAATATTTAACATCGAACAGTGTGTCGCATCAATAGCAATCGTATCGCTTTATACATATGCATGGGCTCAATTAACTGTCACTCGCAGCTCTCCTGACCTGCCTCTAATCATCGCGATGAGGACGTTCAAATGGCTCACGATCGAAGACCAGAACTTTCGCTTGTCGAAACACACTCGTCTCGTGAGAATTATGCGATCGTTTAACCTGCACGAGTTAACTCGTCACTCCCATAAAGTATATAGATTAACCTATCGATTCGTGTACCGGTAATTTTCATCGAGTTATTGCTATTTTAAAAGGAATCATTTATAGGAGTCGTGTAGTGGTTAAAAATATTGAAAGTGTATATGACAATTTTTTAATTTTTAAATTGGCAAGTTACATTTTTTGAATTTTGAAATTAATGGGTTTTTAAGTTTTAGTACATCAAAATTTTGGATTTGTAATTTTTGGATATTCTGGATCCTAAGGTACTTATCATTAAATCTCTACATCACCAAATTTCAAGATTAATAGTTATATCCTCAAATTTTGTATTACCAAATTTCTATCTTAACAAATCCCAAGGTTCATAGATACCTACATTCCCAAATTTCTACATCTCTAAATACCTAAACCTCCAAATTACTAAATTCACAAATTCCTATGTCATCAAATTTCAGAATTTTCAAATTCTACATCTCAAATTTCCTTCACCCCCAAATTCCAAATCTCGAATTTCTAAATCCCCAAATTCCCAAATTCTAAATCCCTAAATTCTACATCTGAAATTTCGTTGATCCCCAAATTATAAATTCCCAAATCCCCAAATTCTACATCTAAAATTTCCTTCACCCCCAAATTTCAAATCTCGAATTTCTAAATCCCCAAATTCTAAATCCCTAAATTCTACATCTGAAATTTCTTTGATCCCCAAATTTTAAATTCTCAAATCCCCAAATTCTACATCTAAAATTTCCTTCACCCCCAAATTTCAAATCTCGAATTTCTAAATCCCCAAATTCTAAATCCCTAAATTCTATATCTGAAATTTCCTTGATCCCCAAATTCTAAATTCTCAAATCCCCAAATTCTAAATCCCAAATTTCCAAATCCCTAAATTCTGCATCTGACATTTCCTTGATCCCCAAATTCTAAATTCCCAAATTCCCAAATCCCCAAATTCTAAATCCCAAATTTCCAAATCCCTAAATTCTACATCTGAAATTTCCTTGACCCCCAAATTCCCAAATCCCCAAATTCTACATCTAAAATTTCCTTACCCCCCAAATTCCAAATCTCAAATCCCCAAATCCCAAATTTTCTTGTCCCCAAATTCTAAATCCCAAATTCCTAAACACCTAAATCTCAAATGTCCCCGTCCCTAAATTCTAAATCTCAAATTTCCAAATCCGAGATGGAAATAGAAAAAGAGCACAGTTTGCAGGGCAAGTAAGCCCGGATAAAAATATTGAGCGATAATATTTAGAGAATGCTCTCGTTTCGGCACGGAACACGTCTGTTTAGGACAGCCAGTATGCATGCTGTTCGTGGTGTGCGACGATCCTGTCGAGAGATATACGAAGCAGCTGCTCTACGTGGCTGTTGCTTCTGCTGTTTCATCCATCGCCTGTTCTAACCCACCGAAACCTTCGCCATCTTTTACCCAGCACGATTCGACACGTTCGAAATTTTCTAACGAGCTTCGATTCGCAAAGATAACGTGTTGAATAAAAAAGAGGATATTTAAATACATTGAGTTCCTTCAACTTCCGGTTTTTTATTCATTTATCACTGCTCGAGATAGCTCTACGAAAATAAACTTAACTCTTAACCCTTGAACCTTAACCTTATTGATAAGCGTCCGAAGAAAATCATTACCGTGATCTATAATCTTCTTGTTCTTATATTTTAGACAAATATTGAAAGTCTAGTTTAAAAGTTTGCAATGACATCTCTGAAAGAAATAGCAAAAATGCATAATAAAAGGAAACTTTCATCCGGAAATTTTACAATCCGTTATTTTTTTCACAGTCCATTTTTACCTGTTCAAAATTTCCCTCCAACAATTTTTCCCTGTTTTACAGCTGAGAATAATTCGTGAAAGTAACTTCTTGTAC